AGTTAAAGCACATATGTAGACTTGGGAGAAAGAAGAAAAGAGTGTAGACAGTTAAAAAATAAAACAAAGTCTTTAAAGAAACATAAAAAGTAGTATAAAAGAATGCAGACAGTCACAGATGAAAGGAGTAAAGAAAATTAAGCCTTATAAAGATGAAAAATACACAATGAGTCTGGATTTTGTATATTATTCTGTTTTCTTTGGATTTTTTTGACTTAATGAGCTAATTAGAGACATTTCATTGTACAGGCTGCTAAGCTAAACCAATTTAAAGGTATCATGACTTCAAAATTTGAGGCTAAGGATATGTTACTTTGGAAAAGAGGTTCTGCTTTTGTTTCCACAGAGGATGAGAACGTTTGGATTCCTTCTAGGCTAATGTAGTTTGGTGGAACAAGACCTCCTGAAAGGTTTCTGTGAACCCTAAAAATATTTTGCCTAACAAACAGCAGGAAGCAGTTTGGAGAAAACAATGTCCAAATTCCCAAAATGATTGTTTTTAAATGTTTGTTTTTATTTAAATGGGGATATGATATAGAGATGAATACTTTGCATTGGCATGGATCTTGATCTATTGGTACAAAGTTATGGTTGATTTTGTTATGCTGTGTATATGTATACTTTACTCTTGTTTAAGGTATTGTGTTTGTGCAGTTCATTTTTTTATTTGATTTTTCGAGACAGGGTTTCTCTGTGCTTTGGAGCATGTCCTGGAATGAGCTCTTGTAGATTGTGCAGCTCATTTAAAGATGTAATGTATAATTAAGAAATAAAGATTAATAGATAGTCATTTATATTAGTTAAACTTATAGTCATGTTAGTTGGGTTTTCTAGATATACAGAGATATATTTCAGTTAGATAGATAATCTTTAACACTTCAAAGACCTATGGAATATGGCATTTAAAATGTTTTAAGAACTTAGATTTTTCTAAACAGTAAGACATGTCTGCTTCTGGCAGCACCAATTACTTCAAGAGGTTGATGGGCATTGAAGAAACTCGTTATAGAATTTGCCTTCAATGTGACAAGTTTAGACATCTGGGCAAGAAATTGCTCTTGCCTGGACTGCTTGAAGGTATGCTATATAAACTGGATATGCAGGACCCACAGAAAAATGACTGCTGAACTTGCCTAAAGAAGGTGAGACAGTCCTTCAGGGTTCTGCTTTATGAAAGAGTCTGCCAGACATTCTGTAGGACACAGAAGAAAGCAACTGATGAACTTTCCCATTACAAGACAGAACATATCTTCAATTTTTCTGCTTCATGGAAAAGTCTTCCATGAAGACTAAAAATGGATGCCCCAACATTATAGAAGAACTTTGGGTGACTGTCCAGGCAGTCAGATGTGTCTGTCAATTCTAGAGTTCTGAAAGTTGCTTATAATGCACTTGGGGTCTTTGAAGAGTTGAAGACATAGTTTTCCTTAATTATGATAAAGAATAAATTAGATATAAAACTTTAGACTCACAAAGATAGGATAGATGACCAAGTATTTTTCTTAATTTGGCAAGTGTAAATGGACTAAATATTGTAACTATAATTCCTGCTTGATAGCTGTTTTGTTATATGTAATTATACTATGTTAAAGTTAAAAATCTTCCTTTTTAATTAGACAGAAAAAGGGGAGATGATATGGGATGTCCTTCTGTATATGTGTTGCTTTTATTGGGTAATGAATAAATCTGCTTTGGCTTATGCAAGGGCAGAATATAACCAGTCTTGAAGAGATATATAGAGAGTGTAGGAGGAGTCAAGGAGATGCCATGTAGCTGCCAAATGAGGACTCCAGCCAGAACCTTAGGTAAGCCACAGACTCGTGGTGATACACAGATTAATAGAAATGGGTTAATTTAAGATGTAAGAGTTAGTTGATAAGAAGCCTGAACCATTGGCTAAACAATGTTGCAACAAATATAGTTTCTGTGTGATTATTTGGGTCTGGGCAGCCAGGAAATAAACAAGCAGTCTCTGTTTACAGCACTGTATCCTAGGCTGGACTCAAACTTAACTTTGTAGCATAGCATGGACTAGAATTCATGGCAATCCTCCTGACCTTCCAAATTCTAAGATTATGAACATGAACCACCACATTTGGCCAGAAGCTACTCTTCTTAGGGAGCTAAAAGAGACTTCTTCATCTAGGGTTAGTTCACTGGAAGAGTGCTTCTGTAGTATGTACACGTACACGTACCTGGAGTCTAGCCCCAAGGCAGAGAAAGGGAGAGAAACCCATTTATCATACCTACTTGTCTAATCTGCCTAGCTACTATGTTCTGATTGGTTGCTGCCATCAGACTCTAAACCAGTGGTTCTCAACCTTCCTAAGGCTGTGACTCTTTGATACATTTCTTCATGTTGTGGTGACCCCCAACCATAAAATTATTTTCATTGCTACTTCATAACTATAATTTTACTACTCTTATGAATCATAAGAGTTTAGCCACTGTTCTAAACTCTTGATGACAGAAACCGTGTCTGATTTGCTTCCCAGAATATCCCAGCATGCACACCATGACTGGCAAATGCATTTACTCCAATTATGGATGCACAAATGACCAGATAAAGGGTTAAAGGTGTTCCCAAGGACTAGAACTGGAACTGTCACTGAACTAGAGCAGCTCTGTAGATGTGTGGAGAATTGAGGCCACATTACAGTGGACTAGCAAGGAGGGAGTTAAACACGTTAGAGGTCATATACATTATACATTATATATGGCAGCTATGAGAAGACATTAAAAGTAGCTTAATGAAAAGAATGTGTGCTTTGGAGTCACATGAATTGAAATGTCAGGGATAGCAAGATGGCTCAGTGGGTAAAATGGTTTACTACATAATCTTATGCCATGATATTGACCCCTCCAGAACCCACAGTGAGAACCCAGGAAGACTGACTCTCACAAGTTGCCCTCTTCCACACACACTGTTGGGCACTTACACATGCACATCAAACAAACTCACAATAATGTAAAGGACTGGTGAGATGGCTCAGTGGGTAAGGATGCTTGTTCCCAAGCCTAAAGACCAGAGTTTAATCCCTGTAGCCCACAGGGTAGAAGGAGAGAGCTGATTCTTGCTATTTTTCCTGTGACCAACACACTTACAGTGTGGCAAGCAGAAGGCAGGCAAGCTGCAGAGAGTCTGGAATTGCTTGTGTTTTGACAGAACTTCCAACCACAGAATCCACCTTCCTCTCTGCTTGACCGAGCAGCAGCGATGGTGACAGCAAACGGGACACCTCTCCATCCCTGCTCATCCTTCAGAGAGGATGCACAGTGAAGTCACCCACAAAGGGCACAGCTTCCCCAGCCCTGCATTAGCTCTGCACAGCAGAGGTTTCTGTTTCTCAGAAGGCCTCGGTTCTCACCTTTGCCTGAGATTACACTACAGAGGAACTTAAAGGCTCAGGTTCCACTGCAAAGAAGTGGGCATTTCTGTGTAAAGGGCCAGGCATTGGTCATTATGGAACACTGCAAGGTAATTGCTACATAGGTTGGGTTAAAATCCATGGAACCAAAGGCTTATCACTTGTGCTGGGGGACAAGGGACACCACAATCACGTTTCTGCTGGGTCCTTTCTCCTCCTGAGGCTTATGGGTTCTAGAAGGGTAGAAGTGATGGCCCTTTGCCCCCTTCAGTATCTCTAAGCACTTCTCATATCACAGTCCAGAGAAAAGCAATTTGTACTCCAAGATAATAATGGCAATATCAATCTACTGGTAGTATGTTTAAAATGATAAAAACCTTATCATTTCTCATAAAGCTGGACCTTGCCAAGGGCGGTTCTGGGGTTTTCTGTAGCTGAGTTTGCTGTTGTGAGGACATGCGATCTTCAGGACCCTAATGACCATGGATGTCACTGTCACTCCACTTCAAAAGCCATTCTGCACACTTGGAAATGTTCAGTTTTGTTTTGGTTTTCCATCAAATGCTTTTATTTTTCAGGTAAGCCTTCTCAGACTCCTGTGGTAGGTAAACTATCCTTTCTGGAATGCTCTGTCCCTGAGTCACTTCAACAAAGGGTCATGGCTGAAGAGGTGGCTCAGTGGGTGATGTGTTTTCTGGGCAAGCCTGGCTACCTGACATGTAGAAGTGGATGGAAAGAACTAACTCTACAAAGTTCACACACATACACACACACACACACACACACACACACACACACACACACACACACCACACACACAAATAATTTTAAAATAAAACAAGGTTAAAAGGCCCAAAGGTTCTCTGGACTCAGAAGACAACATGCTCCTCCCAGAAGTTGCATTTTCTGTAAGTGATAAGGGACAGGACTGAAAACTGAAGCCCTCGCTTACCCTTGGTGTCAGAGGCTGTAATCTAAGCTCCAACTCACCCATCACAGTGTTCCCTCAGCTCTACCAGACAAACCTGACACTGGTGTCAGCTTCCCTTCCCGGGGCTTTCTTCGTTGGGTTTAGGTACATTAATTCACATGCATTGTGCTAAAAAGAGGAAAAACTGTAAATGAAGATTGACCCGGAGACATAAAAAAATGCTGGAAATTCTCAGATCAAACAGCAAACAATAATAAAGAGTGCAGCTGCCTTGTTTTTCTGCAGCTCCATCTGGCTGTACTAGCTGCTGGACTGTACAAATGTGGTCTTAGCTCTGCTCGGGTTGAGGACTGCGGGCCTTACCCCCAGCAGTGCTCACTGAGCACAGCAAATGTTTGGTCTGTGTCTGTGAAATGACTGACCTGTGTGAACGTGGACACTTTTTGGTCCACAGGTGAGGGCTGTAATTGTATCTATTATAAAGGGGCACCCATTTATACCTCTTCAAGTGTAAGTATTTATTGTGTTAGCTCTTATCATTTTGTATAAAAGTACAGTTTTTTTTATACAGGAGAGATCGCTCAGCACTTAAAAGTGCTTGCTGCTCTCCCAGAGTACCAGAGTTCATTCCCCAGCATCCATGTAGAATGACTCACAACTGCCTATAACTCCCGTTCAAGGGAATTCAGTGCCCTCTCCTGACCTCCAAGGGCACCTACACACACATAGACTACACGTACACACTAAGTAAATAAATGTTAAAAATAGACTCTAGTAACTTTGACTAATAGACTTTTTCAAGAAGAATTTTAAAATAGCTGGTTTTTTTTTCATTCCATTTGAAAAGAAGAACCTTGTTCCCAGGGTCTGCCAGCGTCGTTCAGGTACCCACTGACAATAGTCGCTGAGTCCAGTCTACCCTGGAATGAACTAAAAGTGAAATTTCCCACTGCGCGGTAAGTGCTTCTGCTGTCAGAGTAGTGTGTGTGGGAGGGTCAGATAGCCAGCTCTCTGGAAGGGCAGTGGAGCAGACCTAGAAGCCAGCCCACTCACTTCCTTCACAGTGTGGCCAGAAACCCCAGAGGGTAGTCTCAGTAGAACAGTAGCATTAAGCTGGGCAATGATGGTGCACACCAGGCTCATCTCTGTGAGATTGAGGCCAACCTGGTCTACAGAGCTAGTTCCAGGACAGCCAAGACTACACAGAGAAACTTTGTCTTGAAAAACCAAAATAAATAAATAGACCAATCTCCGTTCAACATCTAGACAGAAGTACGCAGAGGATGGGAGCCTAGAGAGGGGAAGCAGGAACAATCGTAAAGGGCAGAGATGCTGTGAGAGGCACAGACTAGCCAGTCCTCGGTTCTCAAGCCCACACCTCTCCTTCCAAGGCAGCCCAAGTAGGAACCAGTGTGTGTGATGCAGCACTACTCACTTAGCAGAATACTGGGATCAAACCCTTTAGCAGTCAGTACTTCTATCACGGCGCCAAACGTACATGAGAGATTGCTTAACGCGTAACAAGTTGATTAGGGCTCACAGTTGCAGAGGTTTCACTTGGCGCTCAACTATCTCTGTGTCTGGGCCTATGGTAAGAAGGATCACCATGGAGAAAGGCCTGGTGAGGCAGAGCCACTTACCTCGTGGAGGCCAAGAGACAGACCCAGGGATAGATGGGTACAAGAGACGTCTTTCACAGGTTCACCTACATTGCCCTACTTAACAAGTAGACCACACCTCCTAATATTCCCATCTTGTCTCAAATCCTAACACCACAATGCTAAATAGTACTCCAAAGATAAGAGTGGAAGTTCCTAAGTCTGCAGTACCCAGCACACAGAAAGATCTCAGAACAATTGCTTAAAATACACAACACAAACTAGAAAGGAAGCTTTAGTTTTACACTTTCTGAGTTCATCCTCTCGCTACATGGATGATATCATTGTTACAGATCAAACAGCTGTCTAGAATCTGAAACAATACTTCTTTGATTGAAACTTAATATTTATACAGTATATTCCAATCATGGCTTCTCCCTCATATCCTTCCAGTTCCTCCCTACCCCCATCCAATTCGATACCTTCTTTCTCACTCTCCCTTTCTTTAGAAAAGCAAGCAAAAAAAAAGAATAAAACAAAACAGAAAAAAGTACAAGAAATATATTACATGCATACACACACACACACAACCTTTTAAAACACAAAATCTGAAACCATAATGTATAAGTATAATACCAGTAAAGTAAAAAAAATCCTAAAACCTTAGGAGACAAAAAGAAAATCTCTAAAAGTATCACCAAATTAATTTGTGTTGGCCATCTATTGCCGGACATGGGATGGTTGGTATATCAAGTGAGACTCCATTGGGAAAAGTAATTTTTCCTTTACAAGTGGTTGACACTTGGAGATGGGGTGGGGGCATGCATCCACTTCTCTTAGTTGGACCCCAATTACCTTGGACCTGCACAGTCCCTATGCATGCTGCCATGGTCTCTGTGAGTTCATTTGTACATCAATCTGATTGTATCTAGAAGGTATGGTTTCCTTGGTATCTTCTATCTCACAGTGTATTAGTAAGGGTTCTCTAGAGACACTGAACTTATAGAATGAATCTCTTGCTCAGTCTCTCTGTCTCTGTCTCTGTCTCTCTCTCTTTGTGTGTGTGTGTGTGTGTGTGTGTGTGTGTGTGTGTGTGTGTGTGTATTGGAATGACAGTCCCACAAGGCTGAGAGTCTAGCTGGTCTTCTGTATACACGGGAGTTCGGAAGAAGTATGCTTCAATGCCAGTGAGGAATGGATGTGCTGACAAGGTGAGGGCAAGCAGGTGAAGAGCGAACACAATCCTTTCCTTCTTCCACTGTCCTTATGCAGGTTTTCAGCAGAAGGTGTGGCCCAGATTAAAGGAGTGTCTTCCCACCTCAAAATCTAGATGAAAGCTGTGTATCACTCTGCATTAAGATCCAGATAAAAGCCTGGGTTTTCCTGCCTCAAGATTTAGATAAAAGCCTGTGTCTTCCAGCTTCAAGATCCAGATCACAAGTGTGTACTCCATTTTTTGATTGTAGCTCATTCCAGATGTTGTCAAATTGACAGCCAAGAATAGCTGTCACACACAGCTCCTACAATATTTCTGCCTCTGCTTCCACATAGCTCTCTGAGTTCTGGAGGTTTGGTGGAGACACCCAATTAGGACTGAGTGTTCCAAGGTCTCTCACTCTCTGCACATTGTCTAATTGTGGGTCTCTCTACTGCAAGAGAGGAAGCTTGTCTGATGACGAAGCTTGCCTGAGTGGGTATAGCAGAATGCTATTAGAAGTCATTTTCCTGCTACATCTGTTTAGCAGGATGGTAGGATTTGGGTTTCCCCTAGGTCCATGGCCTATCTAGTCTCAGGTTCTTGACCACCCAAGCAGTGTCAGGCATGGGGTTCATTTCATTGAGTGGGCTTACATCCAATCAGATAGTGATTGGTTACTCCTACAAGCTTTGTGCCACTGTTGCACCAGCATATCCTGCAGGCTGGAAACAATACTTGGAAAAGTGTGCTTCTGTATGCTAAACATGACAAGAAATGCTGGCACATGTTATAACACTTAAGATCCATGAAGAAATTATACTTCAATTTTTTATTAAAATCACTTTATTATAATGAATTCACAAATAAAAGCATCACAAGACTAAATGAAGGATGCTGAGGGAGCACATGAAGCCACTCAGAAGCTTGCCCAAGCTATACATTTCAGTATATAGCTGAAATGGCCATTCTGAAGCCATGGAGCTTTGCTTAGGGTTTTACCCTTTCACTATCAATTACATTTTCGTATACTTGTCCACCATAAAAGAGTGTGGGAAAACATTTCTAGTTAAAACTAGACAAGGGGGATTAATTCACCTTATATTCTGTTCAAAAGATTGAAAAGGCAAATCATTCAAGATCCTTGTCTCATAGCCAGGTGGTGGTGGCACATGCCTTTAATCCCAGCACTTGGGAGGCAGCGGCAGGCAGAACTCTGTGAGTTGTAGGCCAGCCTGGTCTACAAGAGCTAGTTCCAGGACACCTAGGACTGTAACACAGAGAAACCCTGTCTGGAAAAAAAACAAAAAAAAAAAAATCTTGTCTCGTGTGACAACTCCAGAATTGTTCTCCAAACTGGGTATTAAGTAATAATCAAACATGCCAGAAACATCCCATGTCAAATTTAAGAGACCAGATACTAAATGAATTCTGAAATTGAAAGTGTAAACCAATATAAAAATTTAAAACACATAGTAAGAATTGATGGCTTTAGGCAGAGACAGCTCTTTTGTTTCCCAGCTGCCCAGACCCGAATAATCACACAGAAACGATATTAATTACAGCACTGCTTGGCCAATAGCTCAGACTTCTTATTAACTAACTCTTACATCTTAAATTAACCCACTCCTATTAATCTGTGTATTGGCATGAGGCTGTGGCTTACTGGTAAGGATCTGGCGTCTGTCTCCAGCAGCTACATGGCATCTCCTTGACGCTGCCCTCTCTCTCTCTCTGTTTGGATTTTCTGCCTGACTTTACTCTTCTAAGTCATGAACTGAAACAGCTTCATTCATTATCCAATAAAGGCAACTCTTATACAGAAGAACACCCCACATCAGATGGTGATTGCAGAAGCCAGTCTTCTCGTAACCAAGAGCTATGAGTCTGGGAAATGAACCAATGTGCGAGGGTGGAGGAGAGTGATCACAATGCACTTCATACATGTATGAGTTGTCAAGGAGAAATAAAACATGGGATTCAAGTTCAGCCTAGCTCAAATGACAGCTGACCAAAGTATATTTAGGAAAAGGGTTACAAATCCTCTTCCTAACCAAGTGTGATTTTATACACTTTTATCCTTTGATACCACTTAGCTCCAGTGTCTGCATCATGAGCTCTTAAGTCTAGGCTTTTCACAAATATGATGGGAATTAAGCAAGTTATTAAGGTGTTGACAACATATTCTTGCCTCTAGATACTGCTAATTTCCTGAGGAACAAGAAATAAATGCACTTTGGCAACATCTCTATGAATAATAGTATGTAGATTCACTAGCCCTCCAATACAGCAGCCAATAGTCAATGAAGCTGTTTCTATTTAAATTATAAATGGATTTGCCATTATACAAGCCATAGTAAATAAATAAATAAATAATTTTGAAAATTAAAATAAAACATTATTGAATCATTAGTATGAATTGGGGACAATGTTAAATACATCCTCCCATTGATTTAAAATCCCCAAACTGTTCTGTGAGATAGATGAATATGTCAATCTTGAGATCTAAACTCATACTAAAAGTAGCTTGTAGTATTATAGGCCAGCACAGATAAGGAAAATGTGCACCATTGCAGAAACTTCTATTGGCAGGACTGCATTAAGGATGAACTCCATTAGGACAGGGACTCTGTGTGTGTCAGAGTAGCCCTGCCCCAGATGCACATCAGCAGAAAATGCAAAATTAGTGGCACTTAGGCGAAAGATACAGCTCCAAGGCGGGACACTTGTCTGGTATGCATGAGGCCCTGGGCTTAATCTCCAGTACTGGAAAAAGCAAGTTAGTGCTCTACAAACATGAAGGAAATGACCAACAGTAAGTGACACATGTGGGGAAGCCTAAACATACCTGGTTTACAGCTGGAGCTGTTTCTACAGGGCATTTTGTACACAGTGTGTGCTGTGTGCATATGCCTATGGGAGAAAGGGAGCAAATGTGTTCAAAGACTCCCCAAAGATGGACCATTGTTACCCAAAGTGGGGTGTCTGAGCCAGCAACTCCATCATCTGGAGGTCTGTTGTAGCCCTACACAACAGCCATTCTCGTTTGGTTTGTGGAATCCATTGTGGATTTTGAAATGTATACCACATTCTTATCCCATGGTTATCTCCCTGGGTTCCATCTTCGGTCCTCCAAAAGCAGAGGCTAAAGGTAGACCCCTGTTTAACAAGCTTCACAGAAGTTGCTAAGGCCTAAGAGCTTCAGAAATGCAGTAGAATGAGGCAAGGGTCATTTGTAAATCCTGCTTAAGGAAAAGCACAGCATAAATAAATAGCAGCAATCAGTATCTGTTTATCCACCGGGTCAGTGCAAAGTTGTTAAGTCCCTAGGATGAACTCATAGCTGGGTGAGGGTGTGGACGGTTGTGTTCCACTAAAGCAGTAACTGGTGTTGCAGAAACCTTCATGTTGGCTTAGCTTAACAGCCCCACAACCAGATGTCTCTCTGTAGTCTGCTCATTAGCAGTCAAAAAATTCAAAGAAAACACAGTAGTCTACATAATCCAGGTTCTCTGTGTACTTTCCATGTTTTGTGGCTTTTTCTTTGATTTTACTTTTGCTGTTTCTTTAAAGACCTTGTTTTATTTTTAAAAATTATTTTTATAACCATCTATACTCTTTTCCTCTCTCCCAAGCCTATGTACATTTTTAAAGCACACTGTGACTTGTTTAGAGGTTTATTTTTGTCAGAACCTGTCTTTATTAATCTGTTTTGTGTGTGTGTGTGTGTGTGTGTGTGTGTGTGTGTGTGTGTGTGTGTTTCAAGATAGGGTTTCTCTGTAGCTTTCAAGCCTGTCCTGGAACTAGCTTTTGCAGACCAGGCTGGTCTCCAACTCACAGAGAACCACCTGCCTCTATCTCTCCAGTGCTGGGATTAAAGACGTGCGCCAGCCACTACTGCCCGGCTGTAATTTTTTTTTTTTTCTGATCACTGTTTTAAACTGTCCAGGGGGCATGGCTAGGACCAGAGTGGCTGCTTTGGCTGTTGGTTCTGTCCTGCTTGACTTTTCAATATGGCAGAGGTAGCAACGGGTTTCATGCCCCCCCCCCTTCATTCCTCCAATCAGGTAGCATGCAGCTGGCCCACAAGCCCACAAACTTTTTTTTTTCTTTTTTTGTCTGTATGAGTAAGATTAGCCGTTCTGTACTGAGACCTGTGTGAGACTGTGGAAACCCACCACGCAGCTTAGCTCATGGCAGCTGGTAGCCAGCTCCATCTTATAGGCAGGTGTTGGGAGATACGTCTCTGCACTGCTGCAGTTGGTAGAAAACCATGAGACTAGGAAGCCCTATTTTTGTGAGTTTATAACCTTTAAAAAAAATTCTAGGTGTTTTGGAAATTCAAGAGCTTCATGTTGGACACCATTTGTAACTGGAAGTTTCTCTCTTGCCGTCAGCTCTCGAATAACGACTCAGAGGCTTACTAGTAATTACAAACTGTTTGGCCACTTAGCTCAGGCTTATTATTACCTAGCTCTCAAAACTTAAATTAACTCATTTTTATTATTCTATATTTTACCATTAGGCTTGTGACTTTTTACCTCATATCTTGCTTCCTTGGCAGCTGCTGGTGTCTCCCAGACTCAGTTTTTTTTTCCTGTACCTTTATTTGGATTTCCCACCTGGCTCTATTCTGCCTGGCGATTGGTCGTATCAGCTTATTTATTAACCAATGATAATAAAACATATTCACAGCATACAGAGGAGCATCCCACATCAACAAACTAAAGCATGTTTATCAAAAGGACATTTATAGAAATTAGGAAAGAGAAAACATACAGTAGTATGGTAGAAATCCAACATCAGTCAGCTAAGATATAGAAAGAAATACAATCTCACATCAATTTCAGTCTTGTCTAAGGATGACACAGGCCGGCTTTGCCATGCTCAGGAAATAGCCTTCCTTATCTCCATCCTTAGTTACAAAACACCCTCTTCTCAGTATATTGGAATCCCAGGTATTTCAAGTTCAAGGAAAAGCCCAGGAGGCTGCACAAGGAGTCCAACCCCTAGGAAAGACTGCTTTATTATAAGCTAAAAAAATTGTCTGTTTTTAATAGTGTTTATAATGTAATTGATGTCTAAACCCTGAGAATGGAACAGACCCTGCCTACAGCTGTGCACTGAAGTGGCGCCTCTCTAACACTTCTAACATGCTCTCTCTAAGTACCAAGTGGCCATAACTGCAAACAGCATGTGCAGATAGAGCATTCTGTCTGGGATGGAGGCACCTGTCTGTCCTCTTCTCAGGATACTGAGGAAGTAGAATCACTTTGAGCCCCGTTATTTGGAGCCAGCCTGGATGTTACAGTGAGACCCCCCATAACTTTAAAAATTATCTGTAAAATAGGATAATTATAATAATTAGAATAATCACATTTCAATGACTAAGATACTAATCATAATGAAGTACATTATTTCTATATTTGTATGGAAAACATACAATTTTTTAAAGAGTTGAATGATTATTTCACATCTGTTTCAAGATGTTAAAGTATTAGGAAAAGATTTATTTTGGGATGGATCAAATGCAGCACTATCCTGACTTGGAGGTGCAGGGTTTAATTCAGAAGACTGAGGTAGAAGGTTCACCAGTTCCAGGCTGGTCTATGATAGACAACAAAACATTATTTCAAAACCAGACAAAACAGGACAATAATGATAACAAATTCAGCAATGAAAGTGCCTTTTCATATAATTATTCAAATAAAGTACTAAATTGTTAGCATATATCCACAGAAGCACATTCTTAAAACTTTTTATTGTCATCTTAGGAGAAGGAAGGGCTGTTCAGCACATGTCTTGCACGAACTCCAAGCCCTGTGGGTTTCTCACTCTGGAAATCCTCTCACTTGCGTTCCCAGTGTGAAGGACAAGGAGGTGACATGAAAGAAGCCCTCGGCCAGTGCTCATCGTGAATCTAGAAAGCAGGTCTCCACTTGAGGGAAAGTAGTCCTCCTGTGTTCTCATAAAAGGACCAAACCAAACAAGTTCGTAGTATTCTTTAACCCAACACTAGGGATAAGGTAAAGAATTATATAATGTATCCTCATTTCCAAATATGCTTCCATGAAATTGTTATAGAGATAAAATGCCTACCCAGTGAGAAATCACACTGCACACTTAGAGATTAATAAAGAAAAACCTCTTTACAAAACCCCAAAAAGCCATGAGGCTGAGTGTGGCTAATGCCCAAAGAAGAGCTGGCCTTGAGTTGAAGGTTTCCTAGCTCTTACTCACACCTTAGGCCTATTCTTTCCACAAATGTTGTCATCCTTAATTCTCTCAGGTCCTGGCCCAGGTTATACTTGGAACAATTTAAGCAGACATAGAAGACCGCATGTCTGGACACTGGTGGGAGATTTACACACAAACATATTGTCAGAATAGTTTGTTGAGTACACCAGTGTTGTGACATAGTTGCTCCCAGATTCATCTTGTCAGGGCACAGTGATGGTTGTCACCCTGCTCTGCCCCCTTCAGCTGCCCTTTAGAGGTATGTTCTTTGATATGGCAATGGGCCTAATGATTGGTTATAAGACCCTTTCGTTATGGGGATGGAGCCTAACTGGAGGTCAGTCTTGGTGAATAATCATTTAGCAGAAATTTTCTCAGCAATCCTAAACTTAGATTATGGTACAAAGTTTTCTCTCTTGAGTTTCTAGTGAGCCTGGTCAGCACACTACTTCTCTTCCAGTCAGCTTGGAGGTAACACCCTTTAATTAAGTGCTATTTCATCTAGCAATCTTTCCTAAGCAGAGCATATCCTTTATAGGATCAATTTTACTACTTCCAGCTTCTCTTGCATCAAAACTCCCCTCTCCCACTCATCCAAGAGAAAATGGACACCTGATCATTTGCGCAGCAAAGGTCAATCCATCCCACATCTCCGTGGTACCTGCCTACTGGAGCACTACCAATTTCTTAACTAGAAATGCCTTTTAGCACGCACCACACCCCAAAAAACCATATTTCCTGATAAGTCTCCCAAACAGGAGCCTCGTTACAAGATCCCACTATATGAGATCCCTTGGTACGTTATGGAAGACTCTGGAAATTCCAGAATTTTTAAAAACAGTTCAGCAGGTACTGTGTAGTAGCTCTAGAAGGTGACCCCGGGGAATTGCTGAGAACTTCTATGGCTCCCCTGGCCGGAAGTGTAGGAACTATGAAGTTACTAAACAATTCTTCTTTTCCAAATGTTTGTCCATCTTCTCCTGGTGTATCCCAGGGGGGTCACAGCCATTACCTGAGAGGCCTCACACATGGAGGTGTTTGGGAATTGCCCAGAAGCATCAGCTGTGGGCTCTATCAACTAGAAATGTCTAGACTCCTCGGTTACAGATGCCTCGAATACTTCATTTCAACTACTTCAGAATGTGTTCCATTTCGTTTTTCTGCATCTTCCCATTTCTTTTCTGTCTCACAGGCATTGAGCCTAGAGCTGGAAACAAAGTTCTTCAGTCCTCACTCTTTCTTTCTTTTGACTGGTGACGCAGAGGTAAGGTGGCTAATTTATACATCACAGGAAAAAGAACTCCAGTGAATATGGCTGATGCAAAACAGACGTACAGAACCACTGGCAGCCCTGGGTAGTGTCTCTCAATTATTCCAATGACTGCAGGAAAAGCCATTTCCCCCAGAGAAGCACCAACTACAAAGAATGCTGCTGACTTCCCAGTTAAGGTGGTGTACTGCTCAATCCAGGAAATGCCGCTGGGAAATGTGGTTGCCATCGAGGCTCCATACACAGCAGTCGCGATCCAGAGGCAGAGAGGGCTCTTGTCAAAAAGCACTAGAAACAAAGATGAAGCAAGGCTGCCAACATTGCTCAACACAATCATGGTTCCGGGCTTTAAGAATGTTGCAAAGAAAATGGCCAGGCCCCTGCAGGCTGAGAAGGCCCCCCAAAAGACAGAGTTCAAGCCGGCTGCCTCAGTTTCTTTCATGCCAACATGGGTGGTGGCGAAGGAGAATATGTAAGAACCAAATGTTATCTCAGCTCCAACATAAAAGAAGAAGAAGATGAAGAGGAGGCAGAGCAGGGCCCAGTGATACTTTGCTCTTCGAACTCTCTGAGCAGATGCTGTAGATTTTTTCTGCCTTGAGCGTTTCTTACAAAACAGACCAAACAGAAAGACAGAAACTACTAGAGCATAGGTGCCGATGGAAACGTACGCCCACAGCAGATTCATGTCCTCGGGTACCGCAAACAGAGAGTCTGGGGTGGCTTCAGAGGTTTGGTTCAGCATTAGAGGATCAAAGTCGGACTCTGTGAGGTTCTGAGTGGACGCTGTTGTACCCCAGGCCAATTTAGCCAGCAGGGGAGCCAGGAAGGCACCCAAGGCAAAACTGAAGTGCAAGGCCTGCATGTGTGGGGCTCCTTTGTCTCCCCAAAGAGCCAAGATGAGGACGTTCCCACCTACAAGTTAAAGAAATAATTTGACAGAAGTTTCATAGAGGATGAGGTGTCTGTATTGGGCCATGGGAGCTTGTGATGTTCTGAGTTTACACCAGAGCCACTCTATAATTAAGGTGCTCCAACCCACTGTCACCAGAGGACTGGGTTCCATCTCATCTTCATACATGAAGTTTACAAGTTAGTAAACCGTCATGTGAGCTAGGTACATTTGAAACAATTTATCATAAAACAATAGTAATCTCACTGGGGAGATTACTAACTGTGGCTTGAATCAGAATGGCTCCCATAAACTCATATATTTGCAAGTTTAATCCCCAGTTGGGGACCTGTTTAGGAAGGGTTAGGAGATGCAGTCATGTTGAAGTTTATCACTGAGGGTGAGTTTTGAAGTTTCAAAACCCCAAGTTTAGTTAATATATCCTGCTCCCTCCCTGTTTCCATCTCCCTCTGCCTCCCCTCCCCCTCTCCAAATGAGGATCTAAAGTCTTCATCTACTATTCTCCCATGCCATGCCTGCCTGGAAGCCACCATGCCCCTTGCCATGATGATCATGGACTCACCCTCTGAAATTGTAAGCTAACTTCCAATTAAATGCTTCCTCCTATAAGTTGCCTTGGACATGGTGTCTCTTCAGAGCAATAGAAACAGCAAGACACTACTAAATTTATTTGTAGTTTTGAGACAGTTCTCATATATGTCTTATTGACTTTGAACTTGTTATGTAGCTAAAGATGATCTTGAATTTTTGGTACTCCCACCCGTGCCGCTTAACTACTAGGATTACAAGAATGTGCCATTCAGTTTATGCAGTGCGTGGGATTGAACACAGTAGTTCATGCACGCTAGGCGAATGCTCTGGCCAATTGAACTATATTCCCCAGGTCCGTATGTAAATATATATAGATACTAGGCAAAATTTAGTCTAATGGTGGGGAAACTGCCAAAGATTCAGTACTCCCAATTAGGTGTCAATTCCAATTGAAGAATATTGTTTGCTTAAGTCTAAACCAGATGCTGAACAGCCAGCTGGGAGCCAGATTGCCCCAGAATTGTGGCTTACTTGTTATAGGAAACAAAAACAATTTTCAGAATTGTACACTACATAGTTTCAACACCCACACAGTAAAAAGCCAGAAGCATCTAGTGTTTGGTTATCTTTAAAAACCAGGTATTTTGAGACAATCATATGGTTCCACACTGTAATTTTTGCATTCAAATGGAGCTTGAAGTATAAAATATTTCCATGATCTATCAAGTATTGTTTCTTCCCTTGGAACAAGAAAGGTGGGAATTGAAAGGTAGGATTGGGGATAAGCAATGATCCACATGTAATTTAGGAGGTCTTCAGTGATAGAGTGAAACATGGAGATTTTCCGCTGCAGAGAAAGAGAAAACAACCAAAAACAAAGGCAAGAATATGGTGCCCTCGCGGATTTCTGTAAGTCTAGAACCCGGGTGCCCTCGCG